ACAAAAAATAATGGCAGGAAGAGAAGTAAAAGTCAAAAGTCAAAAAAATAAACACAAAGCAAATGGCAAAGCTTGACTTTATGATACCCGTTGCAACACCATTTTTCTGTATAGTATAAGGATAACAGTTTGTTTCGAATAAGTTGAAACCCTGATCTTAAATGGTCACAAAATTGGAGCTAAAATTCCCCGAACTCTCAACAGTGTGTCTATAAAATTCGTATACCTTTCACCCTATTCTGTGCGTGTTTGTTTCCTTTTTTTAGACAATTTTGTGCCAGCGCTTTGAGCCAAAGTCTGTCATGGGAATAATTCAAAAACGCACAGCCAGGGAATGATAAAACATGGGGACGGAAAAGGGAATTCCAGCATATAACCCAATGATTCAGCGATGGCGTGGTGCCAGGACCGGGACCCAGACCAGCACCAGGACCAGGACCTTAACCCAAGCCGGAACCCCAGCCAGTCACCAGGACATTTGGCATGTCAACATAATTGCCTCGAATTAACTTTTTGTTTTTGCCTTCCCAAAAGCCCGACAACATTTCTGGAACTGCTGCCCACTCAACTGGATGTGTGGGTCCCGTTCCATTGATGTTTTTGTTTTTGTTTTTGTTTGTACTGGAGCTGGAGCTGCAGCTGGACGACAGTTTTACATGCGCAAAATAATTTGCCTCTGACAAAAGTTTGATCACATTTTTTGGCCAGAGCTGGTTCGAGTTGGCCCTGCCCTGCCCTGTCCTGCTTTGTGTTGCTCTTTGTGCGTTGATTTATGCTGCAAAATTAAATGCCAGCACCGCAGTTGTTCGCGTTTGCTAATTTAATTAGCGGCTTTCGTGTGTCTCCCTTTTGCAAATAGTTGGCCAACGGTTTGGCCAGGCTGCCCTCCAGATTCCAGGACAATGTTTTTCCAGTCAAATAAGCTCTTCATTGGCGGCCGGAGCGATGCATGCCAAAATATTTGTGGTGTGCGCATGGGTGAAGTACTCAAAGGAGAGGATTGGCAGATTGTTACAGAAAATAAATCTCATATATTGTGCATCCACGTTTTGCTAATGAATTCCATTTCTTATTATCCATTCACTGTCTTACGTTTGACATTATCGATTGGCTTTCCTTCCCACTTTCCATTTTGTGCTCTTTAATGAATGAATTTCGATACGCAGCCATTCGCAAAAATGCACTTATTGGTCGCCTTTTTTATCAAGCCCCGTGCATACACAATGGCAGTATTCACATACAGAGTCCTATCATGCGTCCAACAGACACGACACAGACCCAACGGCAGAGACAGCGACAGCGACAGAGACAACGAGGAGACAGCAATGAGAAGGACGCGGAACAGGACGAAGGCTCAGCTGCCCGAAACTGTGGGCTGATTAAAACTGATTTATTGCTTTAAATGCAATTTACATAAAAATCAGACGGTAAGTTCAGCTGCAAAAGTGGGAATAATGGGCAAAAGCGGAACGTTTTCGCATACGCATGTTGTAAATATTTCGAAAGTGTGTGAAAATGTTGTTGGCCCAGACAAAAAGGGACTGGAATTTTGTCTGGAGACATGCTTTTTGTACCCACAAATATATTCTCCAAGGGATCGAACGAGTTAATGAGATATTTCTTAATTTTATAGACTCAAATAATATGCCAATTTGATCCTCAAAAGTACACTTCGAAATTCTCGCTCCCACTTAATTTTTTAATTGCATAAATTAACTCGATTCCTAATATTCAACACTGCCGGATTTTGTAGCTGCACCATTTTCGGGAAACTGCCGCAGAGTGAAGGAGAGAGAAAAAAAACTGATGGCTTCTGCGGCTGGCCGCATATGTGGGCCAACTTAGTGGCAATAAGTTAAATTAGCATAAACTTAATTAGCATAAGAGTGTTGGGCCAACAGGGAGCTAGATAGAGACCAGGTGGGCGGGTTGCTTGGGTTGGGTTGGGTGTGTTTTGTGTTGCAGCGTGGTTGCGGCAGATACCAACAGCCACCCCCTTTGCATATTTCACAGCAAATCCGCAGCGCATTAAAAGAAAATACGTGGCGGGGAAAAAAGCGAGGAAAATAAAATGCACAGCTAAACAATGGAAGCGCGAGCTCCAAGAGAGAGTCTGGGGATTGTGCCAATGAAGTAACGACCCTACCGCACACACTCTGCTGAGAATGGAGAGAATGTGGATGTGAATGTGAATGTGAATGTGAATAGCTAAGGGGTACGCTAAGTGACTGCTGTTACACATTTAGCCGAGGCTGATGGGATTGCCGGGGTGATATGGAGACACAGATACAGATACAGCTAAAGCTACAGATACAGATACGGATACAGGTAGAGCCGGAGTTGGAGTCGGAGTCGGAGTTTGCCCTGCTGGCACTTTCATATGAACAAATGTACTCGGCTTGCTCGCATAGCTGCCGCTTGATCCCCAGAGCGGGCAAACGCGACAAGATAAAAGCTGCCACACTAAATCTGTGGTATGTGCGCTCAGGGATGCCCGCTGCAGTTCCTTGGCTCCACCCCGGGTTCTGGCTCTCTGGCAATGCATGCCCTGGGCTGGCCTGGCATATGCAAACAATGCGCACACTATTTTTATGCTCTTTGGATTCACTTAGTCCAAAAGAGTCTCCAAAAATTATACGTACGAATAATTCGTACTGATTTTCAGACAAATTAGTATTTATGGCAGCCAGAAAGTAGCTGTGGGAAGTTGTGCAGTGCCACCTTTGGCTGCCACGGCTTGAGCCGCAGTAAATCATCAGCCACATCTGATTCGCAGGCATATTCGCAGACCAGCAATATACATACACAGCAATTCCAATAAATTGCACATGAAATACTCGTACGAAGGGCCATCATTAATGCAACCATTATTTAACAATTTTTGTTTCACTTTTTATCTGCGGCAGGGAGGCATGAGGCATGAGGCAAGCCTCTGAAGAGGCCAAAGTTAATTTCAGAGAACACTTTACGTGGTGCAATTTGGAAAGTTGCATACATAGCCCGCACCGTACCGGACCAGCAACACATTTGGTAAGCAATAAATTGACCAAGCAGCCAACGCCATCATCTACTTTAAAAGCATTTGTTGCCCCCACCCAATCCGGGTACACCATCTCCACCCACCATTCGTGCCACTAGCAGAGATCCACCCGGGATGGCCCAGTCTCCTTCCCCCTCCAGCAACACTAGAAGCGGCGACGACGCTAAAAAGATACCGGAAATGTTACAGGAAACAAAATGACTTAATGGCCGCGATTGCCACGGCATGGAATCGTTACAGACATCGTCCTCCGGGTCGTTTGCTCCTTGCTCCTTGCTCCTTGGTCCATGGCCTGCTAGCCATTCATTGCACTTGCCGAGGTCAGCATAAAAGCATAATGGAAAGGTTATCGCCGCTATGGCATGCCACTGCAATGCTCTTTCACAGATTCAAATATTAAATACATCTTTTATATATTAATCGCGCAGAGCGAGAGTTTTCATTGGAGAAAAGGGGCCAGAAAGGAGTCGATGGCAGGTTGCAGCATAGCTAAGCGATTGAGGAATTCACCATGCCTCAGGGGCCAAGCAGGATCTATAGTTCAATGAAGCCCAGACCGGCATACTGGCAGACTGGCGGAGGCAGAAACCACTGATGAGCCACCAAATGAGCAAGGAAGGTGCTGGCTCTGGCATGCACAGCCACCTAATTGCCACTGGCCGCATAATTATCATAAGCTTCACTTGGGGGCACTCGGGTGGGGAGGGGGAGCTGCTGCATAATATTGAAACGATTTTGAGGTTTGAATTTCTTTTGTGCCCAAACATATTTCTAATTAAATTAATTAAGCGAAGCGAGAATGTGGCAAGTATGCCAGCCAATTAGTGGAAAATGCAAAATTAAATGTCTGCTGCGGCTGTCGGCACAAAGTGTGCAAAGACGAAGTAAGTAGGGTGTAAATAGAGAAAGAGGGAGGCACTGCTGTGGGTGGCCATCTGGCCACCGTCGACTTATGGTCGGTGCTGCTGGTGCACGTCCACTCGCCGAGCGGAGCCTCCTTTGTTGGCCTCCTCCTACGCTCTGGCAATAATTGCGTTTGGACATGTAAGCTTTTGTTTTACCATTATATGCACCGTGTGTGTGTGTCTGTCTGTGTGGCTGTGTTTGCCAGCGTATGTGTGTGACAAAGTTAATGACAGCATAATTAAACAAAACCAACAGCAGACTAATAAAATGTAGAAATATACTGCATGTCGCTCAAGGCCTTGCCGCCTCTCTCTCTCTCTCTCTCGCGCGCTCTTCCCACTAAACGTTCTTCGTGTGTGGCTGTGTCGACGTTTGTCAAGCGACAATTAAAGTCATAATAAAAGCAGACAATCATTATACCTGCCCCACTCCACACCAACCTTCCAAAAGGCCACCTGGCTCTACCTCTCCCCCCTTTACTCATAGTTATGCATAAAGTTCAGCACAAAAGGGTATAACCCGAGCGTAAACATGACGTTGACGGTCGCTCTCCGCGTCGTTCCTTTTGTTTTGCAGGCATATAAATTTCAAAATTAAAGCAAAGTTCAACCTTTGCCTTTTGTCAACGAAGGATATCTACACGCGAGTATGTGGGTGTGTGTGTTTATGCGAGTGCAAAGGAATGTGTGCTGAGCCCGCATCAAAGCAATCGGTTGGTCACCACGGCATTCGCGCAAGCGACCAAATTACTTGTTTAATGTCCAATCAATTAAGAAATTAAAGCAATTAGTTTCAAATAGATCTTAAATTTAAAGTCACTCTCTTCAAAGAGTGCTCTGTAGCAAATATTTTGTGGGATATTTTCTGCTGTTTCCAGCGTGCACTTTCCAACGTTGCACTCCACTGCGTCAGCTGAGGCAAACAGCTGCTCAAATATTATCTAACTCAATAGATTTAAACATTAATCCAATATTGAAATAGTCGGGTGTCCCACCAATGACCGAGCTGCCAGAAAGAGCTATAAAATGTCGCTGCCAACTGCCGGAGAGAAAGAGTTCCGTTCGAGATCTAGAAGATGCATTTGATCAAGCCAACGCTACTGCTGCTCGCTCTGACCATTAGCTCCGGCTGTGTTCTGGCCGATTCACAGCCATCAATTTTGGAATCGTTGTTGAACGGATTGGGCGGTGCGGTGGGTGAGGCGCGGCCCTTTCTTAACGGTATCCTTGGTTCTGAGCAGACCGCCTTGCTCCTAGATGGGGACTTGAAGGGCAACCTGCAGACTACCAAACGTCCGTTGTCCCAAGATTTACTTGCACTTGGAGCACAGATCACCCAAGCTCTGCACAATGCTGCCACTGAGCTGCTCGCAAATTTCTCTTCGATCGTGCAGTCCACGTTGCAGAATCTGCGTAGTGCCATAGGAAGTGTGAGCAATCGTATCAAGCGGAATGCCCTGCAAGGGGCCCTAAACTTTTTGGAAGCCATCAATGGCACAACCGTGGAGCTGGAGCAATCACTGGCCGAAATTAGCGAGCAAACTGATGAGCAAAGTCGGAAATTTGCTGCGGATATCAAGGAGCAGTGGAACGACTGGGCAGCCGCTCAGCTGGAACGCGTTGATGCGGATACCTTGGGTGGCGGCAGCACCGAGGCCGAGGAAATCATCGACGAACTGCAGAATCGCTACACGGCCTATCTGCACAGCTGCCTGGATGAGTTTCAGGTGCGCAAGGCCCAGTACGAGCAGAATGTCCACGGTGCCATCTCCGCGGTCCAGAGCGCCACCAATGGTCTGATTGGAGAAATCAATACCTGCCTGAAGCGCTTTTTCGGAAGCATCACATGCCGCAGGGACATCAATCAGGCCCTCGCCCCTCTCGAGAATGCACCCAACACACTCGTTAGCCTAAAGCTGGAAAGCCTGCAGATACTGGGCAAGGGTCTCAAAGCCAGCAGCTGTGTGGGCCAGACCTTGGCCGATTTTGCCCTCGAAAAGCCCAATATAGAGCGCCAGCTGGAGGAGATCATTAAGCGCCATCAGAAGGAGGAATCTTCCTCTGAAGAATCTTCGTCTGAAGAGAACTCCGATGAAGAGAACTCTGATGAGGAATCTTCCTCTGAAGAGAACTCCGATGAGGAATCTTCCTCCGAAGAATCTTCCTCTGAAGAATCTTCATCTGAAGAGAACTCCGATGAGGAATCTTCCTCCGAAAAATCTTCCTCTGAAGAATCGTCCTCGGAAGAGAATTCCGATGAGGAATCTGCCTCTGAAGAGGGATCTGATGCCGATGAGGAATCTGCTTCTGAAGAGGGATCTGCCGCCGAATAGAGCCGAAGATGACTCTACCACAAAAGAGGATGCAACCACAATGTAAATGCATGTAAATATTAATTGGTGTAGGGTATTCTTGTAAGCAGCAATAAAAAACACTTTCAATGCAACACAGTGAACGATTTTTCGGAACTTCTTTCGCTAACAAACTGATGGCTTAACCTTTTGGCAAGCTATGGTTCCACATTTAAAGCAGAAACAAGACAAGTCTCGCCTGCAGCTGAACGTAAGACTTACGATGGTATTGCAGTGTCAGCCAGCGATTAACTTCATCAATCGATGCACACATTTTTTTGTGGTCATTGCAATTGCAATTGCAATTATGATGTCATTTGGTCGCTTTGCCCTTCTTTCCACTGGACACCAAATGTGCACTTTTTGCGCTGACCCAAGCGCAACGTGCAACGCCTGTTTAAGTGCAAATTTCAGTGATGCCATTGAAACAGGAGTCCGGCAGTGAATCAGGAATCCGGAGTCAGCACGGCCATTGCGCCAATCGCGACTATTAAGTAATTTTGTTTCCTGTACATTTCCGGTATCTTTTCAGCATCGTCGTAGCTTGACCTGGAGGCTGGATGCTGTCTGGGGCTTAGAGGCTGTAGCTTTAGAATAGACAATTTATTGCACAGCAATCCTGTGGCTGCACTCATAACAAACTTAATGTTCAACTTCTTCAGTCAATTATTTGTTTCTTAACATTTGAAAGTGCAAACTGTGTGCCCACATGTGTTCATTGTTATCCAGCTGTGGATCTTGATCTGCTTCTGATTATAGAATGTGTTTACTGATTGACCAGACCAGACCAGACGACAATTGCTTCAATATTGAATCAAGACAAATAGTTCGCAAACTTAATACTTTAAGCTATACAAGAACCAAATCGAAGTGGTTGATATTTACGTATAGAAATGGAGACCCCACTCAATTAAATAAACATAAAAGCACTCAAAACAATTTCCCTTTCAGAATGAATTTTAGGTTCCCCTTGAAGTATTTTTTGATTCTCACATACATATACTTAAAATATTTCTCCTTTCTATATCTGTGATATTTATAGCAATTTAAAAGTAGCTTGCGATGAAGACGTGTATGCTCTCAGCCAGCCGCTATAGCTTTTCCATACACTTTTAGCTACAAATTAATTGTTATACTATACATTTTTGCCATATTATTGCCATAAAATCTTGTGAACTAATTCCAGGAATAGCCACAAAAGCGCCACTACTGTTACCCATTCTGTTATACGCTCAACAATCTCATTTACTTTAGAACAGTTTTGCTGGAGCATTTACTGTGTAAACGTAATTTCCCCTTCTGGGACACTCTTATATTGCACTTCGTTTTATTTCCGTCTATAGACTTTATGGCATCAAATACGTAATGCCTAAGGGTATTTGGTTTTGTTTGAGGAGTTACACAGTTGTTCAAATATCATCTGAACAGCGGAGGAACAGGGGAGGATGCATTGTCCGTAGTTGGGGGCTTGCTGGGTAGCCTGGGAGAGGACACCATAAGCCAAAAATGAAATAATTCAGGGTATTGGTAAAACTAGATGGAAAAAAAAAATTATAATTTCATAATAATTTCATAAAATTTTATAATTGTTTTCTGAACTTTCTTGGGTACTCAAATAAATGTTCTTGATGGTTTTACGCCAGAAACAATTACAAGGAGTCACAAAGTACAGGCTTTGCTTACCGATTGACCAGACCAGACGACGAAAGTTCCTTCAATATTTAATAAAGTCGAACAGTTCGCATATTTCGGAATTTTAGATACACAAGAAGCCAATCGAATTGGTTGTTCTGGAGGAGTACAAAGGGAGTGCAGATTGATACTTTCACTAGTTTTAATTTGAGAATTAATTGCAGGGTCTCCTTAAGATCGATTCTCAGAAGTTCTCAAAACATTTCTATGTTTTATGTTTGAAAGTCTTAAAATAATTTCATGACGTTTCTATCTACGCTGTAAAGAGTGGCATACAAACTTACAGCGAGTGAGTGCGAAGTGAGACATGTTTAATTTATTTGTGTTTATTGACTTTATGGTAATCGAATACATAATGCCCATTAGTATTTGGTTTGTTTGTTTGTTTACTTAGCAACTAGATACACTGCATTGTTTAATATTACTTGTGGAATTCGTTCATTTAGTATCTTATACTGATAGATGTCACTGCGAGCCTAACTCAAATAAACCGATTTGTTTGTGCACCACAAACTTCGAAGCATTGAAAATTCGTTTCTGTTTCTGTTGTGTGTGAGTTTTTTTTTTTGTTTCCTTACCTAACTTGATTACGGACAGCACTAGCTAGACTAGGGATTAGCAAAAGGGTGGCTTACACTAAACTATCATCAACCCAATGACTCAGAGTCTGTGCGCTTAGCTTAGCTCGGAGGAAGTATGGTATCCCCCCTCAATATTGGCTTGCAACTAAAATTCCTTTCTACTCGTACAGCTAACAGTTCGTAGGGAGTTTATATTATGCTCATACTCGTATCTATATCTAGGTATAAGTACTTTTGTGCACTAGATAATGGTTAAGATTTATCTTTAGGAATTTTCAGAATTTAGCATAGGAATAATTTTGTATTAGTAGCATTTCAAAATCACCAAAAACATTTCACCAAAGTATTAGTCAACATAAGGAAAGTCTCATTGTTATTTGTTATTTGTTATTTGTTGCTGATTTTCGTTACATAAGTTGCAAGTTGTTCATTGTGCCCAGAGTAATATGAAACATGTGGATTGGATTACATTCGAAAATGCAATAGATATATATGCAAAGTTTCTGCTAATGTCCTGTCTATCCGTAATACAACCAAATAACATTGAATCTCAACGCTTATCAATTAATTCTCAGCATACTGTGGAATGGAGTCTTCTATCAAGCTTACATCAAATTGTACGATATTCACTGTACGTACATCTAGGGGGACTGGTATGTACGTGAATATATTATTTATAAGTCATTGCTTTGGTTCAACTTTTCTTTTTCTTTTTGTTTTCTTTTCAAGGTGAGCAAATCATTGCGTAGACTGCATTTGTTTTGTTTTTTTCTTTGTTTTTGAGCATGTTGGCAATGGGTAAATGTAAGTCGAACAACCGCACTGAGGCACAACCTAAAGGGACTGCACCTAGTTGGCACAGCAATGAAAGCGTAGACTGTGGCTAAATGTTGCCTGCCAAGTCTCGCACTCATTGATACTCCACTCTGGCCACGGGTACCCCAAAGTCGTTGACTTCGAACACGATCAGCTTCCGTTTCTTGCGCACATTGGATGACTGGGGCTGCGGTTGCTTCGGGGGTACCGTGGTGCCTGTCGTGCTGCTCGTCGAGACTGGCACTGCCACTGGGTCGGGGTTCGATTTCTCTTTCCTCACTTCCGCTCTCTTCGTTGTCGTTGTTGTTGTTGTCGTCGTTCTTTTTGTCGTTGTTGTCGTTGAGGCTCTGGTTGTGACTGTCTTCGTTGTTGAACTCACTCGAGTCTCTCGAGTGTCCTGTGCGTTCAGTTGCCGTATGTGATGCAGTAACTTTGGCTTCTCTTTCGGCTGTATCTCGGGCGGAGAATCGGCCTCTTTGGGTTCAGAATTAGGCAGCGTTGGCAGGGCTGGCAGATCGCAGCGCTGACGCAGATGCCGGTACACGGTGTCCACACGCTGTACCAAGCGATTTACATACTTGGAGGTCGTACGATCTACCACGGATGGAGCTTTAATGCAGTCATTGCCACCGAATTCGCACACCTAATAACATAAAGAAGTTCAAGCCATTTGGCAAGCATTTTCCCTACAGCTGTACTTACTCGATAATGCTGCAAAATGGCCTCCTTGGGCGGCACATTGAGGGATACCTTGCCTGGTGAGAACTCCCACACGAAATGATTACCAGCCTCGACCACGGAATCTGGCTTGCAGATGTACTTGGAGCGTTGCTTCTGTGGATGCAGTTTGTAGCGCCTTTGAAAGGAAAGGACACACACAAATGGGAGATCTGCGAACAATTGATGCTCAGGGGATTACAAACCTGCGAGTCTTGCGTTGTGTTACCAGCGATGCCCGTACATTGGCTTGCTGTTCATCGCCTCCCACGATTCCAGAACTGGCCAGCGCATCGTCCGCAAACTGCAGATAATAGAACGCATTTTGGAAGGAATAAGCCCCAGTATTGCGATTGCGAAAGCGTTGATTCAGAGAGCTACAAGGTATGAGGAATATAATGAGAACATAAACCCACAATAACTTGTGTCCCAACTCACCCAATCAGCTCGTTGAGCGTGTCCGAGTAGCGTGGCACTATAAACTCATCGAGATCCACGAGAGCTAGGTACTTGTATCGGTACATTGTGCGATAGAGGCAGTCGTTGAGCGCCGCGAACAGGCCCTCGGTGCGGATCTCTTTCTGGCTGCGCATGCGTAGATTCCATGGCAGAATGCTGACCGTGGGCCGTTGGTAGTGCAGCGATTTGAGCACCTTTGGAGTGGCATTGTTCGCCACGTCCACCGGCTGCAGTTGCTCCAGATCGAAGGCGGTCAGGTTGCCGGGCACCAGGCCCTGTTGGTAGCTCTGCAACACGCAGGAGGCGTGCGGTCCCAGCGTGTGGTTGTAAAAGGTGAAGTGGGAGACTCCCAGCAGGGCGTAGAACTCCAGGTACTCCATAAGATACAGCGCCTTGTCGTAGTTAAAGTGGAAAGGCTTCACGCAGACAGCGATGCGATCGGGTATATTATCGCCGCTGGGCGGCGCTCGCGGCACTTGGCCCCTTTTGCTGTCGCCACCGCTGCTTGCATTCCGCTGCTGTGGTGCAAAGTCCCGATCCTGATCAGTGTTGCGTAGCGTAAGCAGATTGCCAGGCGGCGCTCGCAGTCGCGACACAACGCTGACAAACCGTGGCACATCCAGGGGCGGGGCACGCACCGGGCAGAGGATGAAGCAGGCGCTGTACTTTAGGTTCCAGTTCTCTCGAATGATCTGCGAATTGGTATTAAATCAATGAATAAATTAAGTATAAATTAATAAAAGTTAAAACAAAACCTTTTCTCATGCCATTAATCTTAAATAAATTCCAATTATGCATCAACCCCAATCTGAATCATTTTAGTCCGCTTGTGGTCAGCGCCTTCTTTGTTAGCTACCAGGACTATCAGAGTGAACATCTTGAACTCACCTTGACGCGTGCCATCACTGTGGCTGAGGTGTATTTGGCACGGACTGTGGATGCCCCTGGCTCGGTGCCGTTGGCGGGGGGCGGACCGAACCAGAAACGACACCAGACACGTTCTGGTCCGCGTGTCTTGGTGGCACCCACAATGCGCACCAGACGTGCGCCCTCGCGCCGATCAAAGTAGGCGGAGTACACAAAGAACTTGAAGCGGGTGCCGTTGACAATTTGCCAGGCACCGTCGCTGGGCAATGTGCCAAATGGAAAGTGGGGCAACGTCTCCTCCACCTTCTCGGGCAGCATCTGGCCCCAGGGTATGAGCGGTACATTCACACCAAATGTACCAACACCAGTGCCGCCGCCAGGTCCAGGGCCGTGTGCAGCTGCAGCAGCTCCAGCTCTGGCTCCATTGAGCATCATTCCTGCCAAGCGTTGACCATCGGCGCCTGCGGCTTCTGTGAAATTGCAAAATGCATCAGACATGAGACATGAGGCGTATACGTAATGCCATCTTTTGTCATTTCTCATTTCATCTTCTTTGTAATCGAGCGCTCCTCAAAATTGCATTATATGAACGATTTCGACCAAGCCATTGTGTCAATGATTGCTTTGGGAATTGATGAGGATGAGGATGAGGATGCAATTGCCACTTGGCTGCTACTCACCTTGAATTTTGAGTTTATTGTCACGAAGCTGTACAAAACCTAACTTATTATCACTCAGAATGCTGTCATCCAGTAGATCGTAGTCTTCCTGTAAATAAAAATATAATAATGGAAAATATAATTTCAGTTAACGCACATTCAATAGCAACGGAGCACAGGTAAGACTCGAATAAGATTTGTATGGAATCTAATGCCTTTTAGAGTAAAACAGCAGCCATTTGTCTGGCTTTAGACATATTAATGCCAACAATAAGCTATTTTAGCCACCATTTTCACTCAAATGTTTTGCTGCGAAAATGTATCTAAACGAGCATTCAACTAATTTATCAAAAATTAATTTTCCAATTGCAGCACATTGCGGTGAACATTTACCAATTAATTGGGCATTGCCCAGCCAATTCATACATGCTTTACCTGTGCGACAAAATATGCTCAAAAATGTAAGGGCCATGCCGCAGCATTTTAAGTGCTAATTGCGGCAGCGATAGATTCGTATTAAAAATGCAAATCCCTTTGGCCCAGCCCGCCAGCTACAAAAATATGCGCCAGAATTCCAGGCAAAAAACATCTTTCGTGTTCCCACAGCCTCCACTGAGCGTCGCTGGACAACGGCAGGATTTTGCTGGCATGACAGATTTGCATAGCAAAACTTACCTTAACATTATCATAATCCGGCATTGAGTCGCCCATTCGCCCGACCAGGCTGACGCCTCCACCGACACCAACCTGCCGTGCGCCGCTATGCATGCGCTCGTCGATCATGAAGACCTGCAACGAAAGGCAGGGGAATGTAGAATATGGAAATATTTACTGTGGCTTAAAAATTTGAATTTCAAGTTAATTTTCTCAGCTCTCCCACTCGCTAACGTAATCCTGAACTGAATTTTAAATTCAAGTTAATTGTACATTTTTCCAGCCATTTGATGGTGTTTAAATAAAAACAAATTGAATCATGGGATAAGCGCGAGGAGTGATTAAAACAGAAACGCCCAGGAACTCACCTCTGTCAGGATGATCAGCCCAAAGACGGCAAAGAAGGTAATGACAATGAGGAAACTCATGCCGGATCTCTCCCTGCTGCCCCACTGCTTCTTGCCCCGCTTCATTGTGGGTGTTAGTGAGGTGCGGCCACCGTGATGATGTTGCTGTTGTTTCTGCTGTTGTTGCTTAGCTTGTTGTTGCTGTTGCTGTTGCTGCTGCTGCTGCTGCTGGTGATGATAGCAGGCGTGTGAATGTCCTTGATGGCCGTACGTTGTCGAATAATGGCCCAGCAGGGGGGTCGTAGAGCCAGAGACGTTTACGGAGCCGGTGGAGCTGGCGGAGCTAACGGAGCCCCCCCTTGCCTGCTGCTTGTACTGAGGGGGGCTCCGGCTATTCAGCATGTTGGAGTGCAGGGAGCAGGGGGATTAGTTACAGCGTTCAGACAACAGTTATTCGTTTTGTTTTTCAATTAGTTTTACGATTTTTATAGAGATTATCTCGGTGCACTTTATGATGGCGATAAGCGGTTGAGGAATCGGTTTTTATATTTAATTTATTATTTATTTATTTGGCATTTTGTTTAATCTCCATTTTAATTGTTGTAAACAAGCTGAGAATTGATTTTCATATGTTTTTGCGAATAAGCGGAGCAAAACAAAAGTCCAAAAAGAAAAGCGACAGAGAGCAAGACGAAAATCCAAAGAGAGAGAGAGAGAGAGAGAGAGTGACTGAGAGTTCTGCGCTCTCTTGGTACTCGAGGTTTTCCTCTTTGGCCAGTTATAAAGGAAAAATCAATAAATATCTGTGCAATACTTTGCAGGAAACAATTCTGCCTGAAGAACTGAACACAATCCCATTTGATTATTATAATGAAAATCTAATTGTGCTTTGAATTGATCTTGATGCGATGATTTATATACATTTCGGCCCCTGGGTGATGATTCCGGCAGATGCAGACTTCAACTTTCATCACCTTTGTACAGCATCCCACTCGACACTTAACCCTCGCTTCGAGGATAACTTTCCGAATTTCACTTGCCCCCGGGCACCGATTTCGTTATGCACTTATCGATTCTGTTTGCTAATCAATTTTTTTATAAATAATGGCCTATGGCGACTTCCCGAAAAAAAGGCCAAAACATTTAACACTCGGCGTAGGCAGCAGGAAAACAATGCGGCACCAGCTGAGCGCCCCAACAGCAAGGACATGCGCACAGGACACTGTCAGAGAGATAGCAGCTGTTCGAGCGTGTGCCGTTGCCAGACCTGCCCATATTTATGCAAAATAAGAACAAATATAATTAAAGGAAACTTGTTACTACATTTAGTTGATGGAAATATTAAATGGATGGAACTTCACATATTTTAATTCTTCCTTTACAAAGTCTACAATTGATTCCAGACTATAAATGCTTTAGGAGCGGTGTTATATGTAAGGAAAGCCACAAATTATTTTCAGCAAAATTAAATCCTTCAAATCCTTATACTCAAGAACATACACCGACCACACACTCCCTCTAATCCGCACCACAGAAAGTGCTTCCCCATTCACTGGCTTCTCTTCTTTCATATCCGGTGCAACTTTTTGGCTGGGTACGGGTCCGAGGGTACGAGAAGATCTCATGGCAACTAAATATTTATGCTCAAGCTCTGGCTGGACAAAAGAAATTAGCGGAAACAATAAAATTTCGAAAACTTTTGTGAAAACCAATAAATTCCAAGTGTTTGGAAATCAATTGGGAACAAATTGCAACAGGCAAAAGCGACCAACAAGAAAATTTGGACAAAAGCTAGAACACATACATATATGTGGATATCGAGTATGACCCGCTTCCATTTTCCTCACCTCTGTGTGCATCTCTTTCTCCATTTGGGTGAGCATTTTAGCCAAGCAATCGAAAAGTTTGGAAAAACAAATATGCAAAGAAAAAGGTGCTCGAAGAACCAGCGGCAAAAACAATTTTGTTTGCTAAACTTTTGTCATTGTATAGTCGGCGTGTGGGCCAACAATGGCACTCCAGTCGTACCCGGAAAGAGGAGTGGAAGTTTACGTGTAGCAACTGGGGATAATGTTGCGATAGCATAGAGAGTTTCTGACAGCGCATCATACCAAAAGGAGTCGTTGAAACACATTAGAAAAGTCGAACATTCGCCAGAGAAGTGTTTTTTAAAAACCGAGTTAGAGTCAATTAAATAACAATAAAATAGAAACTAATTTTTTTTAAATTGTACTCTTCCTCTCTTGCATCATAAAAACGGAAATGAATGCCTAAAAGTTTTTCCAACTATTCACATGCAATTTCAACACCAACCAAGAGTACGAGTTTGGGGAAAGGACAAAAATGAGAATACAGCAGTACACAAATAGCCAGAATGCAGTTTCAGTCTGCTCCTGCACTTCAACCAGACTAACCCACAACGAGTGAGGCACTCGAATGCATTCGTCGTTGTGCACCTCAAGTGAGATTAAATAAAACTGCACGGGAAATTGAAATGAAAATTCAGCAAGGCAAACAAATTTCGGAACAAGCTATTGCCAGCCATCTATGAGATACATTCTCCAGGCTCACCGCCTCCCCCTTCTATATAAAAACCTTTCATTTATATAGATAGAATTCTACTTATTCGTACGGCAACTTTTCCGTTGAAGTGCCGTTGTGGCAGCTTAAGATACTGCCACTACCCCATGCCCCGCCGCACTGCCCGGGCATAGGCAACTTAACTTTGATGAGTTTGCAAAGTAAAAAGTGGAATCGTGGCTGGCTTGCTCGTATATTGCCGGAGAGGGCCAAGTGCGGACTTAACTGTGCCGCTTGCCTTCCTACCTTCTGCCAGCTGCAGTCGAGTGTGTTTGAAAATATGATTAAAATAACGAAAATGACGAGCGCACCTCAACCCCGAAGAGACAGTAGAAAATATTAGCTCGTATCTGCCACTATTTGTTCTGAAGTTAATTAAATGCTTCGAGGGATGTGTACCATTGAGATTTTCATTGCTTTAATTTCTACGAAAATCGAGCTAACATTAAACTGAAACTCAAATATCGGGCAATTATTTCCAGCCGATTTAGAATTATCTTTCACTTAACCGTAATCCACGGTAAGCTGTTGGCATGCCACGAGGCATTTAATTAATTTCACTTCATTTTGATGCGCTGCCTATGCTACGTATACGTATAAACGTGCAGCTTGTGGACTAGGACGAGATACGTAAGAGGATGGAGACAATGATGTCTGGAAATGGCGCACTGGAGCACTGCAGGCGCATATCTGCCGGATGCGCGGCTTGTTTGGTAATTTCCTTCACGGATGTGCATGCAGTTGCAGGAGCAGCCGCAGGATCTGCAGCTGCCAGCAAAACGGAGCCAACAGTCAAGAGGGCAGTGAGCTGGTCAACGTGGGGTTTTGTGTTGTTTAAGTATGTGGGAGAATGTGTAAAAATGGCTTGAGCGCAAGATTTCTTTGCCAAAAACCGGTTGCAACAAAAATGTATGTCCCGATCCGTTGGTCATGAAAGCTTTCAAAGGCGCCCACAGCCTTTTCCAATTGAGTAGACACTTTTGGGCAAACACAAAACCGCAAAATTCCCCAAGCAAAGGCCATATCTTGTACACTGGAAGCTGGACCCTGGATCCTAATCGATTGGTAAGGAAATTTGAAACAAATAGTGGGACCCAACACAGCCCCTATGTGGTGCTGCTTCGACACACTTCAAATGCACTCTGGGGACTTCTTTTCGTTTCGTTTTGCCATAAATTAGGCAACAGATTTTTTGTCCACTGCCAGTCGTGTCAACGACAGGGAATCCCCTTGAATCCGTCTGTCTCTCTGTCTGCCTGTCTCCAATGTGCATGTGCAGTAGCAAGAATATTCAATGGGGTCCAGAGCAGAACCGACAAAATCCAATGCATGGGCAATTAATCTGTCCACGTCCGGGTGGGTCCCATAGTTCCCTGAAAAATCCTTACAATTTCAGCAGGAACTACTCGTAAATGAAATGCTGCTGGTCCGTTCTAAAGCTTCCCATATTTCTAAAGAAATTATTTGATAACAGAGATTAGCCCTGCATCTGACCAGAGATGAATGTTTGATAGCTCTGGGATTGGTGGTCAGGCCCAAACGGATGCACAATTAGGCTGAGTGGCTGGTTAGTTTTCCTTCCACTTCTTCAGAGAAGTTTTCTTCAAATTAGTGTGAAAAAAGAGGAAGCGGAAGAGTTTGATGGGGTATGGGATGGCAACTATCAAATGCAGAAGCCACAAGTCTGAGACGATTTCGACATAAATTCAATAGAACGAGGGCAATAAGTGCATTAGCAGCATATTTCACAGATTGGCAGACACGTCGCTAGATGTGGTTCTGTGGTGAACCGAGGAACCAACCGAGCAGACCAGGCCACACCATACCATGCCATCAGAGGACAGAAAAGAACAGGACAGGACAGGAGAGCACAGCGCACAGACAGTTGCCATGCCAAGACCAAGAAGTAAGCCACAAATTGCATGAGATCATAAATATTTCAAGCATAAAGTACGAAATATGCAAAAGTTTTGTGCTTTCCTTTCCTTTGCTTTCCCTTGGAGTTGGTGTTGCTGTCTCTCTTGGTATTGCCAATGCCATTGCCATTGCCCAGTGGCCAGGTCCAGTGCTAGTGCCAGTGCCCAGTGCCCTGGCAGTTGCAGTTCGCCAGATACGAGGGACGTCAAACGAAAAAGAAAAATATATTGCTAAATTCTCACACAGGAAACGGGAGCAACATCAGCAACAGCCAGCGGGTGGACAACGGCCAGAGCTCTCTTCTTGTCCGTTGTCCGCTGTCCACTGTCCGGCACGTGCACTACGCCAAAATAGCAAACGGAAGTTCAAAAGAGCAAAGGGCATGTAACGCCATTTCACTATTTCGCTATTCTTCTCTGCCTTTACTCCTGTCCTGTGAGCTTCGCGCAGTTTTGGCCAAGCGATTGCGGCTACAAATTTGCAATAAGCAATTTTTCAATTTTCAATTTGGGCAGCAAGGACAACGGCATCGCTTGGGCTGGACGAGAATATGCAAAACAGCAGCCACATATCGCCCGACACCATAACTCATCTGACATACGCAGTAGGGTGCTCCGAAGTGAACCCAAGCAATTGCGAGGTCCATCAGGCAGAATCACACCGTGTTAATTCAATAACATTTAAATTTGGCAAATAATAAACATAAGAATCACTGAACAATCAGATCATTTAAAAGGTACACAAACCTTACTGCAGAGTCCATTATTTCACACTTCATTAAGTCTATCACCTGTTTTTCGCCACAGACTTTCTGTGGAGCTGTGTTGACTAGCAGCAAAGCTGTACCAGCTTGTCAACACAACACCAGCTTTGTCTTTCTTCACAGTTTAATCTATCCATAGAATCTCCCTACTGCTGTGCAGCTGTCACTCTCTCTTGCTGCAAAGCTAACTCTCTCTTCAAACGATCCCACTCTTAACGCACGTTCATGCACAGCAAACTGTGCCGATCGAAAAACAAATGTAACGCAATATTCGGCAGGTAGAACAAAACTTGCACTTATGTTTGCCTCTATCCCGAAACGACTGAAGGAAAAAGTTTGATCGCTTAATGTGACTGTCCCATCACGGGTAACGAGTTGCCAATGCCCCAATCCTCCGTCTGGTCGATTGAATTCCGGGAGTTGTAATGGAATCTGATTGAACTTGGAAACAATTACACTTACACAAACATTTTCGTTGAGTTATCTTTGTTTATATAATAAACGCAATATTCTTACACCATTTGCTGCCACAAGTCTAAGTAGATGTCTAGGTTAAAAATAAAACTTTAAGTGTGCCCATAAAGAGCCGAGCCTGGGCTGGCTAAGTGGGTGTGAATTGGAACAATCAAAAAGCCTTTCTCTGGCGATTGCATCTTCCTGTAGACCCTGCCGGAACAACGTATATTTGTGTACGTATCCATTACGGAGCATTTGAAAGCAGATAGGTGGATCAGCTGTAGACTGCCTCAACTTCTGCGTCATAGTCGTGGCCTAAGTGCACGTAAATTGAATACAATTTCGAAAAGTTGTAATACACAAGGCAGGCAATGCATACAACACTCACCGAGAAAGTGGGGTGTTGGGTGTGGGCCTCAGACAGAATGAGATGTAGATGTGCAGATGTATGTGGGAATAGTTTCGAGACTGTTCGATAGACACACGACTCACGACTTCAATTCGAGTCCATACAATAGACCTATGTACATGTACATATGTTGGTACACACATTTACGTGTACATTTGCTGCACAGACTTCATAGGCGGAGATTTACGCAAGTTAAACAGATTGTCAACAGGAATTGTAAGGATGCAATGAGGTGGAAGAAGGATGTTTTTAGCTAAGGAAGGGGAAGAGACTGGTACACGACATGCTGACGCCCTGTGCCTGCTGGTCCCATGCAAAACTTAATTTGTTAAATCATGTCCCAACACTTCGGAACAAATGTTATCCTCGAGGAAATTAATGCAATTATTGTCAACTCGCAGTCGCATGCGAATACTGCTTTTGTTTCATTACATTACATCATATGTACATACTTTCTCGTATCTCAAACTAGATACCAATTTATGGAAATGACACCCGGACGACAGACAGCATTCAGTTTTGCGGTGTATAATATTCAATTATTGTGATATGAAAATTTATGACATCCCTCTGTCGAAAGAATCGGAAGTTAATTTTGCGTTGATGGGAATATTATTATGTTTATAAAGAGAGATACATATGTATGTTTAAATTTTAAATTTAGCACCATGAAAATTATTTTTTTCTTTGAGATATTTTGTTAAAACAATGGTTCTGATGAACTTATCCGAGAGAGAGAGAGATAGAGACTTTAGTTGGAAATATTTGGAAGGAAAAGGACAAATTTCATTAAGGCTCAAAAAACTTCAAATTGAAAAGAAATTTCCACAAAATTGCATTACTATAGTTTACTTTACATCTCCACAAATTTGGCAGAACCCCCAAGTGTCAAACATTTTCTTTGATTTCGTATTAGACACATATTCCTTAACTGTTGACCAAAGATTTTCCCAATGGTTCATATCTGGACACTGAGCAAGAGAAAACATTGAATAAAAGTCGCTGTTTTAAAACCCCTTAGAGCTCTCTATCTGGTCTGTTTTGGGTCATTTTCCTGATGAAAAGACACAACTCAACGGCATTTTCTATTGCATATAAGGCAGCATTATTGTTTTAGTATATAATAACAAAGCAATGTTGATTCATCATCGATTCCAGCACGGGTACTTTACTACCTCCATAATACGAAAGGCATGCACATACCATGATTCTTGTCTCAACATGATTATTAGATATAAATATGTGTCAAAGACTTGTGTTTTTCATTTGGTAGTCGTTTTAAATAGGATCTAAAGTTTTGAAAAAAAAAATTGGATTCCTCCGGATCACAGGATCTAATCTAGCTTTGCTTATCTTTGGACATTTTGTATCATTTTTAGATGAGGAACCTACTATTTTCCTCAAATGAGGATAGCTTTCTTCTTTTGGATTTAAAGTTTTAATCCTTTGGCTTTTTTCTTCCCTAAAGTGCTATCGACAACTCATAAAAACTAATATTTTTTGACTGTCTGTTTACAAACGACTTAAACTACCGATTATTATATCAATTAAAAACATAAAATATCAAAAAGCTCGGAAAAGTAAAAGTTTTTATGGAATACAAATTATGGGTGCTATTTTTGTTGCCGTTCAATAATTGCCAAAATTATTGAGATCCGCCAAAATTGTGAGAGTAAGGACACTTCTCTCAGATAGGAGACATCTCAACCTACATTATATTACTAAAAAATGTTGTATAGAACCATGTTTTTTAAACAACAACGTAGGTGCACATATTGTTTTATTCAATGTTAAAAAAAGCTTCAACCTGCCAAACTTAATCCCAAGCTCCACTCAAACAGTTCATTCTCAAAGATTTTCTGATCCACTCAGCCTGCAGCATAAATCCAGATTGAGCGGAGTCAACACCTGAAGCTCTCTTACCAAAACCATCACTCAAAATTAATTGCACTGGAGTTGTATCGACTCTCTTTACTGTCTCTTGACTCCAGCATGCACTCGACTCAGTTTTTGCCTGACTCTTAGCTCTTACCTGCACTCGACTCAATTTCAGTTGGTTCTCTTAACGGTATTTTGGCTCCAGCACACACCACACTCGACTCAGTTTTTGCGTGGCTCTCTTAACTGCATTTGCGGTCCTGGACACACTCGACTCAATTTCAGTTGGCTCTCTTAACTGCATTTTGGGTCCAGAACCTACTCGACTCAGTTGTGAGTTGAGAATAATGTGAATGCCTCAAGGCAGCTCTTAGCTGCACTCGACTCAATTTCAGTTGGTTCTCTTAACGGTATTTAGGCTCCAGCACACACCACACTCTACTCAGTTTTTGCCTGGCTCTCTTAGTTGCATTTGCGGTCCTGGACACACTCGACTCAATTTCAGTTGGCTCTCTTAACTGCATTTTGGGTCCAGAACCTACTCGACTCAGTTGTGAGTTGAGAATAATGTGAATGCCTCAAGGCAGCTCTTAGCTGCACTCGACTCAATTTCAGTTGGTTCTCTTAACGGTATTTTGGCTCCAGCACACACCACACTCGACTCAGTTTTTGCGTGACTCTCTTAGCTGCATTTGTGGTCCTGGACACACTCGACTCAATTTCAGTTGGCTCTCTTAACTGCATTTTGGGTCCAGAACCTACTCGACTCAGTTGTGAGTTGAGAATAATGTAAATGCCTCAAGGCAGCTCTTAGCTGCACTCGACTCAATTTCAGTTGGTTCTCTTAACGGTATTTTGGCTCCAGCACACACCACACTCGACTCAGTTTTTGCCTGGCTCTCTTAGCTGCATTTTGGATCCAGAACCTACTAGACTCAGCTGTGAGTTGGGAATAATGTGAATGACTCAAGCCAGCGACTCTCTTAACTGCAATTGGAATCCTGCAGCTCACTGGCAAGTCCGCTAACATGAGCTAAAACGAAATTGCAAATAAATAGCCAATCAAATGCTTGCATATTTAATTATACGTATATGTAGAACTGTGTAATTTTTCAGTTTACAAATAAAATGTATTTCTTAGTTTATTTATTTTCCTTAGACTTTATAATGGCGCTGACGGTAGTGGCGAACGAACAGCAGAGCCCCAAAACAGAGCCACATGCCAAGAAAATACGGATAGATGGCCCCTTTTTCTTGCGTATCAATTTCCATTTTCAGAACGATCACATGGTCCCGATAGTTCAGCGTACAGTTTTTACAAATGGTGTGATTATCATTGACAAAGTCATCTTCATTATCTAAGGCCTCAAATGGCCATCCATGCACCGATCCATGCAGCAGCAAAAGACCGAGCAACTGCATAAGTAAGCAAGGCACCAACATCTCCAACGAACTCCAATATTTGGCAGCTAAAACAAAACTGAACCTATCTTTGGATCTGTCCTGAAACGACTAAAGGCAATTGTCGGAGCGTTGACTACGACAGGCCCACGGCAGGCGGATCACTCGTCTGGTCGTGCGAATGCAATCCGATCGTACTTGGCAACATTTATACGCACACAATTATTTTCCTAGAATAATCTTTGTTTATATGGGAGTTGCTTACAATCTGGTTACACCATGTACTGCCGTATGTCGATATCGCGTTCCCTGAGCTTCTGGTCTATCCACTGCCGGTAGAACTGCAAGTTCGTGTAAATTCCCAGCAACTGTGGGCCTTCGCAGCGCACTGGCTTGGCCAGCAGGCCGGCCAAAACAAAGCGATCGTCGTGACCGGGGAGCGGACACATGAGGGGCACTCCATCCATGCCACCATCGCCGCAGACAAAGTCTCCCTTGTCCCCGCCAGCGCAGAGCAGTGTGTCATTGAGGGAGTACCGTCGACCCAGGTAGGACAGCCGGAGTTTCGCCATGCACTGATCCCGTGGCAGGGCGTAAAGAGTCCAGCGCTTAGGCAACGTCACGGAGCCACCGAAATCGATTCGCCGCCAGCCAGAAACATAGCACTGGCTGTAGTTGTACACCATCTGGGGCGGAGGCAAACAAATCAGTTGAACATTGGGCGCAAGCTCGAAGGGAGGCGACTCCTTGGCCAGCAGCAGCACTGCTATGTTGTGGGCCACCGGTGTCTGCGTATAATTGGGATGCAGCAGCAACTCCGCCACCTCACGGGTCTGATGGGGTTGCGGCTCCAGCTCCACCGCAGCATCCCATTCACCAGCCACCAGACGAATATTCTCGGACGTCTCGTTCTGCACGCAACGAGCCGTGGTGAGGACGGTTACGGGTGATATGAGCGCTCCACTGCACAAATAACCAGAGGCCCCATAAATGGCCACCAGCCACGGAAACTCGCCGAACTTTGCTTCCTGCTGCTTGTACCCCAACGGGCGGAGATAGTACCAAAGATCTTGACGTCCACCACATTGCCAGGAGTTTGCTCCTTCCAAAGTTCTGACTGTGGGTAGCTACATATGAGAGTGGAATACAATTGCATGAGTTTCTGTCTGTTCAATCACTGTCTGTCCTCACCGTATCGTGGATATTGCAGCACTTTTCCATATAATGACACTGCTCATCTAGCATGGTTCTGCTGCGATCCGGATAGAAGTGGCCTTCCACCATGAGACCCTCATTGCACTGCTCGGAGGGCACACAAATCTTCTCCTCAGCGCAGCTCTTGAAGCCTAAAACACCCGCTGCAAGGCAGCCCAAAAGCCACACAACCACAAACCGAGTGAACCACATCGCTGCACTTGAACTTGAACTGTGCGGCTCGTCCGGTGGCTTTTATAGCCTCATCAAGGGTCAGGCGGCGGCCAACCTCTTGATTGGGTTAAATATAACTGAAAGTGTGCCCACAGTGACCCATTAAAGTGCTATAAATAGCTATAAAAAGACTGGGCTGCATAAGTGGGTGGGAATTGCATCTTCCTGTACCATTCACCCAGCCGACAACACGTATACGTAAAACGTATCCATTACCGCTGCGACGATGGACTGTTTCTGGGGAGGTGGATCAGCTGTGGATTTGTTCAACTTCTGCGTCATATCTTGGTGCGCAATCATCGCCTAAGTGCACGTAAATTGAATCAAATTTCGACAACACTCACCGAGAAAGTGGGGTGTTGTGTGTGGGCTTCAGACAGATTGCGCTGTAGACATGCAGATGGATGTGGGAATAGTTTCGAGACTATTCGATAGACACACGACTTAAATACGAATCCATACAATAGATACATACAATTGGCTGAGATTTACGCAACAAATAAACGGATTGTCAACAGCAATTGTGAAGGATGCAACGAGGTGGAAGAAGGATGTTTGATTATTTATTGTTACAATTCGATTCTCGAAGATACTCATAGATGGATCGTAAGTCTGAGCGCTTCTGTTCATTGTCTAGACTTCTCCAACAAGATTAAATAATTCGCGTGTTTACACATACATGGTAGCTTTTATTTCCATCATGGCTCATGTGAACTTAAAATGTTTAAAAACAATTGAAGCATTTAAATATATGTTGCGTATTGTGCCTTGATGTAGCGCAGGGTCTGGTATGGGCAAAATAAAAGTAACTCAAGTAGATGCGAGAATATGACGCGAATGATCGATTAGTTTTAAGTCTAACAAAAGGGTCTTATGTATGTAGAATCATCAATGTAATCTAACAAAATACCTAATGCAAGCGGTAGGTAATATAAGAATATATGTAAAAATTGTATAAGACCTACAGAAGATATAACCCTAAATAATATGCCTGGGCTCCGATCTTTCACTTTAATATTGCGACAGAATCGATCATGGATGCTATATGTGGCATTCTCTTCGCATTTATTAGAGCGTTTGAATGGAGTTTTTGTTGTTGTTGTTGAAGATTGCTGCATCAACGTCCTTGTCCAAATCCCAGCCAACGGACGCAACGTCACAGGGTGTCATTGAAGGGTAGCTTGGTACCCTTGTAGTTGGGATTGATGGGTCCAGGCATGACGTGCGGCTTGAGGGCGCTCTTGCCAGGCAAACGGTCCGCATCGTATGGCAAGCCGGGGGATAACTTCAACTGTCGATAGTAGTCGCTTTTGGGATAGGAGCTGTTGCGCTTCACTTGAATCTGCACGCGCTTGGCACTTCCCCTCTGAGGCGTGGACGCTTGTTGTGGAAGACACTGGGCTGGCTGCGGCGTCGTGGACTTCTGGAGTGTGCTGTTTATCTGTTTCAGTTGCTGTTTGCGCGAGGGCAGGAAAAGCTCCTGCTCACCAGCCTCGAGAGCCGTTTCCCAACCATTGGCTGCAGACTTAGGAGGGTCGGCAGCTTTTTTGGATGCAGGTTTTGTTTCTGGTTCCGGCTTAGGCTGCGCCTGCGGCTGCTCCACCTTCTTTACCTTCTTTGCCTTGGGCTTGGACTGCTTCGCTTCCTTCGGCTCCTTGGCTGGTTTGACCTTATCTTCCTTACCCTCCTCGGCGTCCTCCTTGACTTCCTCCACTACCCAGGCGTTGTTGATGCTAGAACGCACCTTCGCATTGCGTTTTACCTTCTTCTGCAGCTCTGGGGGCAGAGCCTTGCCAATTATGTCGTCGTAGTTGTGCTCATCTACCTCCTCAAAGTTAATGGACTGCAGTAGACGCTTGCGCTTGGACTTGTTGAGTTTTTTTAGTTTTCTGCCAGTACCAAAGACCTCGTCCTCCATCTCCTCAATGTCGGCCACCTTCTGCTCCACCAATTCGGATAGGGTTGTGCCTTCCACCTTGGGCATGGTGCGCACACCCAGCGGGAATTCTCCATTCTTAAAGGTCTCAAAGATTTGGATTAGCTTTCGTAAACCTTTGCGACGTTTGCTGTTGAACTCGTTTGTGCGCAGCAGCGTCTGCAGCTCATCCAGTACACAATCCGCATTAAGGGGAAGCTCTGGCATGTGGACATCAACATTGCCAGCGCGTGGATCAAGGGAGGTGGCACGCTGCGGCTCCTCCTCAGTGTTGCCCTCGTCATCTTCTTCGTCAAAGCCCGAGTCGTGTTTCTCAATGTCATCGATGCTTGCGGTCGGAAAGCCCATTGTCTTCCAGGCGTTGTATTTTTCGCTATAGTCTCGGCCCAATTCGCTTTGGTACAGCAAATGGTAGAGCACTCGAGTCCGGCACTGGGCCACCAGCTTGGCGTCGCGCTGTGTGCCCACATAGTTGACAAATGGGCGCAGAAACAGATTTACCTGGCCGGCTGTAATCTCTCCATTGGCCGCCTTGGCAAGTTCCTCAAAGAAAATGTCTAAGTAGTGCATTGTCAGACCGCGGCTTTTGGGTTGCTCCGCCAGCACAGACTGCAGCATGCTGGTGTTAAACGAATCGATCAGCTCTGACGACCACTTTTTCGCCTTTAGCAGCCGCAAGATATACCTCAGCATGCGGCGCACAAGCATCAAGAATTTGTCCATTCGCCATTGGTCAATGCCGAACCACTCCTGGCACATGGTGCGCATGAATGCGCTGAAGTACAACAGACTGCAATCCGTATTACCACCGAAGCTGTCCACTAGTTGGGCCAACTGCTCGGCCAGCTCCTCCTGCACCAGCGGCTTGTCCGACATCCACATGTTGTAGTACAACCCCTTCCAAATCCGCATAAAGTCATCTTCGGTGAAGGAAAAAGTTGTGTTTGCCCGCAGCTCAAAAAATTTGCGTAATTTGCGCATTTGACGATTTCTTTTTGTCAAATCGTTGCAGGCCAGGGCGCGGACAATTTTCACTTCTTGGGCTATGACGATTAGCTCCTTCGGAACCTTTGGCTGTGTTGGCTCCTCCTCGTCTTTATCAATGGCAGCCTTCTCGGCAGAGCGCTTGATTGGCTTCTTCCTTGTCACCATTTTTAATTGAAATCAAGTTTTAATTTTAATTGCAAAAATTCGTATGCTGTGTGTATTGAATGCGGCCTCTGCACGTGTTGAAACAAATCGATTAATAGATAGTGCTTCGCGGTGCTTTACAACACGGTAATGGAGAGTGTTAAGTGCAAGAAAGTGCAATTTCTCTAGGTAGGGTATGTTTTTTTCTTCCTAAATGATGCATATTAATACCAATATTTGGATTAGTAAGCTTATAAAAATAATATCACTGCATTAATTTGCGTGTTTTTAAAATACGATTACTCGTTTTTTTCCGCGCGCCGCTTACCAGCACTACTCTCAGCTGATATAATACACAGCTTGCTTTTATTTCATTTTACACTTCAATAAATTAAATACAACAGAATTGTGTTCAAAATGCCTGTTCTGAGCGTGTCCAAAGCCGAGGAATATCAAACATATATTAATGGTGACAAGACAACGGTGGCGCTGTTTGCCGCCGACTGGGCCGAGCAGTGTGCTCAGGTGAAAGATGTGTTAGAAGAACTGTCGAAATTACTGGGTGACAAACTGCAATTCATTAGCCTAAATGCCGAACAGTTTCCAGAGATTTCGATGAAGCATCAAGTGAGTATTATCAGGTGAATTTGGGATTATCATATATTTGCTAACTATTTGTGGCCTTCATCAAGATTGAAGCCGTTCCCACAGTTATTTTCTTTGCCAAGGGCTCGGCTGTGGACCGTGTGGATGGAGTGGACATTGCCGCTATCAGCAGCAAATCTAAGAAGTTGGCAGAGAGTGCAAGCAGTGCGGCATCCACCGGACAATCACTGGATGACCGCTTAAAGGCCTTGGTCAACAAGGCTCCCCTAATGATATTCATGAAGGGCGATCGTAATGGTCCACGCTGCGGGTTCTCCAAACAATTGATTGCTATCGTAAATGACACGAGGTGCGCACAAAGTTTAGCCAATTGTTGAATCGATCTCATTAACTGGTTGTATTTATTGACAGTTTACCCTATGAGACCTTTGACATCCTGAGCGATGAGGAAGTACGCCAAGGCCTGAAGACCTACTCCGACTGGCCCACATACCCACAGGTGTATGTGAAGGGTGAACTGATTGGTGGCCTGGACATTATAAAGGAACTGCTGGCGAACAAGGAGCTTGAAGCCACTCTTAAGGGTTAGACTTCAAGGCTTTTGCATTAGACTCAATGATGACCTCTTTTATACAATTTAATAAAAGAATTGAACAAAAAACATTTGAAATTCTTTCTTGGAAGTTGGACTTCTGCAACACTGAGTGACTTCTAAAACGGCTGTTGTGCAACACCGTCAGCTGTGACACCGGCGTCAAATCATTTCGCAAATTTTCGTGCATACATTTTGGTTCTTTGTGCAAATCTTTAATAATTAATTCATGGCTGATGCAAATAACGCAGAGGCTGCTGCAGGTGGCGAGGATAAGAAGCTGTCTGATATTTTCCTAAGTGGCTGGAATCTCTACGACGAGCTAGACGTTAGCGATCTTCCATTCAATGGCAGCGAATTTCAGGTCAGATATGCATACATATGTATGAATGTCTAGTGTGTAAATTGATGTAATTTGTATCTGCAGAACAAGGTGAAAACTGCCTTGGGCCACTTTGAGGAGGCAACAGTGGTTGTGAACCAAGTAGGCATGTTCAGTCCCAACGAGCTGATTGACGAAGTCTCCACCGATTCGTTGCCGTTTATGTTGTTGCCCTACTTCCTAGGGAAACTAACGACCAAAATTAACAATCCGAACAGCACAGAGATCATGGATCTAGGCGAAATTTACTTCAAGGATCATCTGCAACGTTGCCAGGAGTACGAGCTGTGCGAGGCCCCCAAAGGGACCGTGCAGCAGACCAACAAATTGGAAAAAAGCGAGCAGCGGGAGCTCGTGGAGGCCGCCTTCAACCGCAATGATAAAATTGCTCAATATCGTAAAATGAAGGAAATCGACGAGTACATGGCACGAATGCGGACTGCCGTCAAAAATAAGACGGCGGATGACGAGATACGCAGGGAGTTCTTCTTGAAATATCTGGACAAGAGCATCATAGACAGCAAGCAGGAACTGGAATCCTTGGGCATGATGAAGGAGCTAGCTAAAATGCGTATTGCTCGCTTGGCAGGTGGCGAGTCCAGCCCTAACGATGATCCTCCAGCTCCATCTGGCAAGCCGTTGGGTTCACGAGGTCCTTCCAGTCATGGCCATTCCCATGGTCATAGTCATCACCATCAAGCGCCCAAGCCGAAGCCACTGCAACCATTTATCATTACTCGCAATGCCACACAGAAGGCAGTTTTTGGCTTGGGATATCCCAGCTTGCCCGTCATGAGCGTGGATGAGTTTTATCAGCAGCGCGTTGACGAGGGCATATTCCCCGATGCGGAGAAGTCGGCCAAAATGAATCAGGCCCAGGCAATAGCGGCTGCACGCGATCCCAACGAGCAGGAGGACGAGGAAAAGGCTGTGGAGGATCAGCTAATTGAAGAGGACGATCCAGAGAATCTGGCACGTATGAGACGCATGGATGAGTACAAAGATGTGGTGCGCCGGGGTGACGGAAATCGTCACAATCGCAGCTAAGAAACTCATTTGTATTTTTGTATTTTAATAATAAAAAGAAATAGTACTCAAGCGTGTATATACTTTTAAATTCTCCGCAAAAGCAGTACAGTGCTGTACAACGTCAAGCAGCAGTTTGGTGTTGCAAAACACTGCCCGTCACATTCCAACTCCACAACCCCACTAATAACAACAACAAAAAAGACTCGAGGGCACATACAAATTAACAAAAGAAGTCTTGCTTAAGCACAAATACGCAATTGCTTGCAATTAAACAAACACCCCGCACAAGTAGACAGTTGAGTAGAGTCGAGTTTTACTAAGAACATAAGGGAAAAAGAACAATTTTTGTTATTCCGTAGGAACAACACAACAGCAGAAGATGTCTGTAAGCGATTTTATCAAGGGCCTGCCAATCCACGATTCCAATAACTTCACTCACCTAAGCAACGAGCACGGCATACGCACTTCACAGAAGCGGGCCTCTGTTTATTTGCCCACCGAAGATGAGGCCTCGGAGCAGCTCATTGTGATGGACAAGAGATGCGTTCTCTTGCGCTATCTCACGCAGCAGTGGGACAAAAAGACATTGCAGCGTAAGCGTGAGCATGGCAACGAGGGCAGTGCCAACAGCTCCACCCCTAATGGCAATGGAAGCAACAGCAAAAAGCGCCCTAGAATAGATCCCAATGAGCTGATCTGAGTGGCTGGACACCGACCGATATGAAGCAACCTACGCACGCATACATACTTACGTTTATCCCCCTCATGTACACTGTACACAAACGCCCACACGCATAAATATGTTTTAATCAAAACATCAGTACAAACAAATTTTTTTAACGGAAGTCCCACTACCAAATTTTTTCTTTTAAACACTCAGTCAGAGGAGCAGTCATGCTGTAACCCCTAAATAAAAATGATAAAAACCATTAATGAGGTGCTCCAATGTGTTTTACTCTTTTATCGCAATTATTGGACTTGACTACAGTAGTTTAAGGGCTAGTTAATGGTGTCCCAGGTCCTTGGGGTCTGGTTTGCCGTGCTGCTTCTCCCACCAGATCACGTACTCCTTCTTTCGTTGCTCCCGCTTGGCGAAATACTCTGGATACTGGGCCTTCTCCAGGGGATGCCAGTAGTCCAGGAGCCAATCGGGTGGGATGACCTCGCGCTCGAAGGCGCAGCCACCAGCGCTGTTGGCAACTGCAAATGGTAAATAGTAAGTGGTTTCTCGTTGCAATTAGATTAGGCTGTTGTGCTTACAATTTCTGGACTGGAAATGCTTAGTCTCGAAGAGCTCCTTTTGGCCAACAGCCAGCAGTCGAATGCCTTCGCCCAGATCCTTGTTGCGGTTCTCGTCGAAACGGGCGCGCATCTGCACAGCACGATAGCGGTAGTCATTTCTAAAGGGGAGTTAAGGCAACCAGATGCACTTCGTCATTATATAATCTGCCGCAGATATGTTCAACTACACTTGCCGTCGGTCGTACCACGCCTCCAGGTTGCGCAGGGCACGCTTGTACAAGCTGCACACCTGGCGCTTGTGCGAAACAATTGCCAAGGGGACCTGAGCCATCGTTTGTATTCGCTTAATTTGTTAAATTCTACAGAAATTACTGCCCCAGCACAGCAACAAACACAGCTGTCAAACAGTGGTGTTGCACAACGTCCCTACTAACATTCATTTGACAGCTGCAAGTGCTGTGAAACGTTTTTCTTCTCGCCCTCCAACAGTTTTATGAAAATATTTTAAAATGTATCAAACAAAAAGATTTAATAAATTATTCACAAGCAATTAAATTAAAATTAGGTGTCCAACTATATACCTATGCAAAATGCATATTAATCCTCTAGCTGCATAACATTCATGATACACTGAACAATATGTTCAGGTATATTCAGTGGGCTCTCGCACAGGTCGCCGGTGTTTTTGTCGTACATGTAAATTTCATTGACGACTCGATTCTCGTTCTCGGGATCGAGGGACGACACAAGCACCAACGAACCCTCTGCCAGCTCGGAAAGGATTTTCTCTATTCCATGTTCGGTGGCAGTCGACGCGACTGGCTCGTCCGTGTTTGCGGCTGGTAAAGGTAATGTTTGATCGGCAATGAAATCAATTATAAATGCCTCTGCTGGCTGTCCCGTTGGCCCATCCGTGGAAGGCTCAACGTCGCTGACATAGCTTAGGGTACCATCGTCCATATTGATGATGGTTTTATCACGTGTCTTACTAATATCTACTATGAACTCTTGATCGTCCGATAAAAGCGCATTTAAGTCCTCCTGCAACTCCCCCCGATTGACATTGTTACATCCAGTTTGTTCCGTTTTGATAACTGCTTCCTCCTTGATTGAATTCAATGACGGCTGATTAGCCTCCATTTGTTTCTTTTTCGAGAGGCGTTGCCGGGGCTTTCGCTTGACCGCACCGGTCCCATCGTTCTCATCCGGCTCCAAAGCCTTACAGCGCTTGGCCCAGGCGTGCTTGCCAAGCATCTTCTTGGTCACATGCTCATTCTCATAGACCGTGTCCCCATCGTTCATGCTACGCGCAGCCTTGCTGCCCATCAATTTTGTGCGCTGGAATTGGAACAGGACTTTTAGTATTTTAAAATGTTAACATTTGGCACGACTTGAAACTCACCTTCTTGGTGTTGCCAGCCTGAGCAGACATAATGTCGTGCCACTTGCGCTCCTTTTCCTCACGGTCGCGATCCTCCTGCTCCAGCTGATCCTTTAGCTCCTGTATATTAAAGGCCTTGGGATAGAGCAGCGCCTTGTTGATCAGCTGGCTATTGGTGCGCTCCTCCCGCTTGTACTTGAGCTTGAGATCTCGCCGTGTACGCTGCGGAAACATTTGGCACATCAGCGAGAAGTCTGTGCCGATAATCTGCAGGCTGCGGTAGAAGCGCACCGTCTCCTCGGCGGACCAGTACGGCGTGCGCCTGTGTCGCTTATAAAATCCATTGTCACCTGAGCAGGAGGTACGAAAGTATTAAAATATGTGAGCGAGAAAGGCAAACTTCTTGCACCCTTACCAGTGGTCTCGTCCATGAGTATTAGAGAGGAGTTGGCGAGCACCTTGCGTGCTTCCACCTCGGCTGTGGTTTCAATCTCCAAAGTCTTTTCATCAATGATCATCTCCCCGTTGGCATCGAGCTTCAATTGCGGCACGGGCATGGCTGATGTGGCCTCCTCTTTGGCGTCCATCAGTTGATCTGGAGTAGGTTTTGTTTCCTCGGCACTGGACTCGGCCTTGATTGTGGTTATCAGAGGCTTTTGTTCCATGGGATTGTTTAGGGGATTGTAGAAGATCATGTCGAACATTTTGAAAGTGGATTTGTCTGGAATACCGTTGTTGAAGCGCGTCTCGAAATCCCTTCGAGCGTTCACTCGTTGTCCCGACTGATTGACCTGGCTTTTATCGTCGCCCTTACGTTGCTTGCCGCCGCCTTCCGAGTAGGCAGAACAAGTGGATTCCGTGCGTATGCGTCCCATGCCAGGACTCATGACGGGTGGAAAGTATTTGAATGGAGACGGGGGCATGGGCGAGGCTACCTGCTGCGGCGTGCCCATCGACGAGCCGCTCAGGTAGCGCTCCCTGCGTGTGGGCGTTCCCGGAGACTGATAATCGCCATCGTAGTCGCCGGCCATGGGGGAGCCAACAAAGCTATTCCTTCGCTGGCCAAACACAGGCGTCGGACGCACACGTTGGCGTGCCTGAGTCTTGCTCGGGGACATGGGAAATCCATTGGCGGTTTTCTGCAAGTCCATTTGTATCACATTGTCCTCAATGTCAGAGTGAAACACCTCCTCCAGCTGGCCAGCCGAGCTGACGGGCATTTTGAAAGCCATTGCATCAGCATCTTCCAGCTCCCCGCTGGCCACGATAGCTTCTTCTTCAATGTCTGTCCCAATTGCCATTGCCTGCTCCTCTAGCTCTTCCTTCGGCACCTGAAGATCTTCTTTACGCGCCTTGCGCTTGATGTGCGAAAGATTGGCCATAGCCTTGAAGCGCTGGCGCCGCATTGACATCCTCTCCGTGTTTTATTATATCCTTTTCCAGCTGAAATGCAATTTCACACATCAAGTTGAAATAAAAATCGGTGCAACAAACACAATATCGCACCACGAGTTTCTATAGTCCAGTGTTGGGAAACTTTAAATATGTCAGCACAGTGGAGCAAGGCCTGCCAAAAAACCTCTAAGAAAATAATCATTTCATATATAGATTCACGATTATATTTTTATTGTTCGTTCGGCAAACAACTCTTTTTTGAGTTCCAACTTTTTAGTAACATTTGTACCTGGTCAATGCGGACTCATCGTCTGAGACGAACCAATTTCGGTGTAGCGATTAAATTACAAAAAAATATATATATAGACTTACACTCATAAAAAGGCCGATACAAGGAAACCATTTATTTACAGTAAGTGTAGAGGTACATAAAATTGTGTGAATTATATTATACCCACATTGCTTTTCATGTTTCCACTCTCCTACCATTAGTGCTGTCAACTGCTCGAATTATGTCACATTTCACAGCACTTCACCCTGTAACGACACAACAACACCAACAATAACATTAGCATAGAAAATGTGCAGCATGCACGTTTTTTTAATTGGTTAGAAATGATAAGCATAGCCATAACATAGCCAACCACTCGTGCATTGGGACACCTGTCAAGTCGCTAGCAAGGGATACAGAATCAAAATTTGCAGTGTTAAGTCAACGAGTGTGGAGTAATCGAATAATCGCGGAGGAACATTAACAACAGTGAGCTGCTGCCCCGTCCAACATTCAGCTGTTATGCAAGCAGGGGGCAGACAAGCAGACAATTGAATTAGCCGGCATGCTGCTCAATCGATTTGTCTTGGCAATTAAAACCCAATCCCGGGAAACTCTTCGCGCCTGGAGCTATCAGTGCGAGTCGATCTTCGCCCAGCGCTCGCGGCGCATCCAGCAACTGCTGACATTCTATCAGTCGGTCTACGGTACACAGGGTCTCAAGCAGCTATGGCGCGCCTACTATCGCCGGGAGCTCCAGCCACCCATACGTGGATTAATGCTGAGCGCCGTGGGACTCATGGGACTGAACATAAAGCGGATGGGCAGCGACGGCTTCGACTGGAACAAGGAGCGTCTGTCGCTCTCCAACTTTGACATGTGCCGACGGGACATTGAGTTCATCAACACACTGCCCAATAACCAGCTGTGCGAGAGCTGCAAGGCCAAGAAAATGAAATACTGCTACTGTCAGCTGGGGAATCAAAGGTGTCGCAAGAGCGGTGCATCTATCCCGTCGACGAGCAAGCAGGGGCCGAGCCCAGGCTCCGGTCCGGACAGTGGCTCCATACGCAATTGTCACACACCCATTGGGTTGGATACTCGAGAGGCGCCAGCTGGAGTGGTTCGCATTCAGGCCCAGGACGATCACAAATGGGAGCCGTACTTTAGTAAAAACGAGTTTAGCATCTGGAGGCGGGAGGAACGCTCATCTTTGTACTCATATAAGGTAAACTTGAGCACAAATTGTGAAATTCATCGGTTGTAATGCTTGTGTTTCCCTGCCAATAGGTATATGCGCGATTTGATGACATCACAGCCGACGATTTCCTCCATGTGCAAACAGATCTTGACTATCGCCGACAGTGGGATGACACGGCCCTGAGATTGGAGCTGATAAGCGAGGACCCTGTGCCGGGTAGCAACTCGCATTTGATCTACTGGGAAATGCAGTGGCCCCGGTTGTTTGCGAACCGCGACTACGTCTACTGTCGACGCTACATCAAGGATGAGGCACGAAAAATGATATTCATTTGCAATCGGGGGGCCAAGCACAGCACATATCCAGCACTGTCCGGCAAGGTGAGGGTGACCGACTACTGGAGCTTGATGGTCATCAAGCCATTCCGCGGATTCCACGAGCCTGGCCTGCATTTCATACTCACCTATTACGACGATCCTGGCATACCCATACCGCAGAACATCAAGTCGTGGGTGACGCAGAAGCAAATGCCCGAATTTCTAACTAAAATGTATGTGGCCACAAAGAACTATGCCTGCACGCGTGCCCTCAAAATGAAAGACATGTTCAATAGCTTTAATATCATCAACGAGGACTACACGGCCAATGCCCAGCGTGGCAGCTGGCTGGGCAGTTTAAGCCGGAACAGTGTCAGCCACAGTCACGACGATGAGACAAAGAAGCGTTAAGTTAAGTTCGATCTCTTCTTTGGTTTCCCCATTCACAAGGCTCCTAACCCCAAACAAAACAGACCCTCTGATCCGTTCTCCTATTTCTTGCGACCATTTCAACCCATTTTTGGCAAAAATAAACCTAAACCTATTTCTAGCATTAAAACCCATTTCATAAAACACCACAGCAAATCTAATGTGCAATATACGAGACACACCGGTGTGTGCAGGCCTCAGTTGCTCCCATGAAATGTGTGCCACATGATTAAGGCTTTATACATACATGTATCTACATAGCTATTGAATTGAAAATATATTACTTATAAGGTTAGATATTGTTTTAAAAGCGATTAGAAACTATTGAAACTACAAATGTACAATAAAAGAATTGCAAAAATTATACAAACCCCTCGGGAGATACAGTCTCCTCTCACATTCTACCATGCAACGAGTATTG